CAATATTGTATTGTTCAATGTAAATCTTACACGCTCCCGACCCGTGAAGATACGGGCTAGAATAGGTCTTCTGCAACCAATGCTTGTCGTAAAAGGCGACTTTGCTTGTCGTAAGAGGCGACTAACGGGATCGGATGGTCATGCTCGCTAACTTGGTTGATGCATGTCAACGTATCTCAATTGCGGGGATCGATGCTCGTGATGTCAATCACTGGATTGTCTGGTCCAGATTCGATTATTTACAGGCCGCCGTCATATAGCTGGAATAATGTTGAGTGCGGCGTTAAACAACAAACAAACAAACAAACAAACAAACAGATCTTACACGCCCCCAGGCACGTGTTCAGTTCATCCGTGTGTGTTGTCAACTTGTCCATGTGATATTAATTATTACGAAAATGATGTCATTTATTTTTTCCTCCTCCGGTAAAGACGGCAACCACCTGAAGCGGCACAGCGGGTGGCCAGACGTACCGTCGCCAGGTGGCGCTGTGCTCAGCGTCTTGCTCGTGAGGATCCTGCCGCCACAGCAGAGGCATATGGTCTTCTACAACGGCGGCGTCTCTATTTGTTATCATTACCAGAATACATCGACGTGTTTGCCTCAAACATATCAACTATTATATCATAACACATCTTTAGGAGTAGATATGCAAGAGCAATCAGCCAGGTGCACAATGGAATAATACAAGGATATGACTCATAGGAATTAATCTGCCAAAGTTAAGCCTGGTTTTTCTGGCACGTGTGAGGCCTCTACTGGTGATGTTATTCCTGGTACATGTCAGGCCTCTGCTGGTGATGTTATTCCTGGTACATGTCAGGCGTCTACTGGTGATGTTATTCCTGGTACATGTCAGGCCTCTACTGGTGATGTTATTCCTGGTACATGTCATGCCTCTATTGGTGATGTTATTCCTGCTGTATGTCAGGCCTGTACTGGTGATGTTATTCCTGGTACATGTTAGGCCTCTGCTGGTGATGTTATTCCTGGTACATGTCTGGCCTGTACTGGTGATGTTATTCCTGGTACATGTCAGGCCTCTACTGGTGATGTTATTCCGGGTATATGTCAGGCCTCTACTGGTGATGTTATTCCTGATACATGTCAGGCCTCTACTGGTGATGTTATTCCTGGTACATGTCAGGCCTCTACTGGGGATGTTATTCCTGGTACATGTCAGGCGTCTACTCCCGGCATCTGTTTGTTGTTTAATGTTTCACATAGTAATATTTCAGCTGTATGACGGCGATCTATACTTAATAATAATCGAGACAAACCAGTTATTGACACCATGAGCATTGATCTACGCATATCGGATACGATGACATGCGTCAACCACCAGAACCTGTTAGTCACCTCTTACAACAAGCATGGGACAAATCCTAGCCCGGATCTTCACGGATCCTCTCTCGTGGGAAATGCCTACTGAACGAGCAAAATGACGGTCATCATTCGCTGGTCGGTCTTTATATCGTGGATTCTCTTGATCATTTCTGGGGGCACGGGTGGCCCAGTCGTCTAAGGCGCCGCGATTCGCTGTGCAGAGTTCCGTCCCTTGGGCACGCCAGAAACCTATGATTGTGGGTTCGAATCCCAGTTCGCCCCGATTATGTTTCTAGTTTTGTCAGCACCATACCCGTGCTCGTGGGTTTCACCGAAATGGTAAACGTCTGAGACCTGCATCACTTCGGGCTTTCCTCCCACATTAAGCTGACACGCCGTGATATAACTGGAATAATGTTAAAAGCGGCGTTAAACCCAACTCACTCACTCACTCACTTGATCATTTCTGGTATTTCTGACGTGACAGGCCTTCCAGGACAAGTGTTGCCATCAAGGCTCTCCCTGCCAATGCCGACGCAATCCGTGAAGATACGACTACAACACATGGGAAGGGCGCCATTCTCTTGTATTGTACTCGTATCTTCACAGATTGCGTCTGGTGTTACGCCCTTCAGTAACTCCTTGATCACGGCGCATTCCTCAAATGTGTCCATTTTCCAAAGGTCCCTGATCCCTGTTTATGTTGCTGACTTGCTCAACTGACTCCTGTCTTTATGGATATACCTCTTTGACATCACTTAATATCCCAGCCAAAGGTGAGGTGAGGTGCAATGGGGTTTAACGTCGCGTCCAAGATTATTGCACTTATATAGCGACGTGCATGTACGTGTGTGTGTGTTTGTGTGGCTGCTTGTACTAGTCCGGACTGATGCCGATTTATAGTGCTAGCCCACTGAGATACCATGCCGCAGTGTAACATGAATACCCCACTCAGACACAGTATACTGACTCCGAGCCGACCAGTCCTTGTTTTAGCCCCTTAATGCCCAGCGCCAGACAAGGTAACAACAAGTACCATCTTTTAACGTCTTTTGGTATGACGCGGCCGGGGATCGAACCCCGTACCTTCCGCTCTCCAGGCGGACGCTCTACCACTAGACCACGGAGGCGTTCCCCAGCCAAAGAGTTCACTGTCAAGCAATTCCTTCTTTGTGAGGCTCAAACTTATCAACCTTCCAACGTGTTGTTTTGTGCAAGTGTAAACAAAGACGTAATTCAAAACTAACATATCGTGTTTAGTTTCAACAAAGTCAGTAAATGCGCTGTCATGTCATTTGGGCTTTTTAGGCGTACTGCTGAGCGGCGTCATGCATCAACCACTCACTTTCTTTTGCAAATTGTGAGTAGCCGACGCTTCCGGGAGGGAAGGGCACGCTTTTCGCGAACAACTGGTGTCATCACTGATTTTCAGTGATCCATATGGGCCATTCATATAGTTTTCAGACCGCCTCCTTGGTCTAGTGGTAGAGCGTCCGCCCGGAGAGCGGTAGGTCCGGGGTTCGAAACCCGGCTGCTGCGTCATACCAAAAGACGTTAAAAGATGGTACTTGTTGTTACCCTGTCTGACGCTCGGCATTAAGGGGCTAAAACAAGGACTGGTCGGCTTGGAGTCAGTATACTGTGTCTGAGTGGGTTATTCATGTTAAACTGCGGCATGGTATCTCAGTGGGCTAGCACTATAAATCGGCATCAGTCCGGACTAGTACAAGCAGCCATACACACACACACACACACACACTCACACACACACACACATACACGTGCATGCACGTCGCTATATAAGTGCAATAAGCTTGGACGCGACGTTAAACCCCATTTCACCTCACCTTACCTATAACTTTCATCGCTATTTCGCCTTTTACATCTGCTTCGCAGGTAATCGAGACTGGCTATTCTCTGCCGTTGACATTTCATATTTATATATGCTTTCACCTTATTTTCTCAGGTTTGTTTCAACACAGAAATAGATTTGAATAGTGCAGCATGAAATGAACATCATAAGAAAGTTAAATAACCCTATGTAAAATGAGTATGCTATTTTGAAGTTGTTTATAAATATACAAGTGCTTTTTGAGCAATACAGTCATTATTTAAGGGTCATTCAAAGTATTTACACAGGAGGAACTCATATACTCAAGAGTCTTCCGAGTCTGCCTTCTCTCGGCTTATCTTGGCCATGATTGGCACACAAGCAACAAGCTACGATTCATATACTTCTAAACACTTAGGGAGGGTATTGCACGTTCCTGACAACGATATCTCTTGAGGGATATCGTGTGGGAAACTAGTCCGATTATATATAGATAAACATATTGTAGGAAGCAGAACTGAAAAAAAATGCTTATTAAGTCTTGAAAAATACATCGCTATCGGTGAGATGGTTCGTGTGGGTTCAGCAATCGTCCATAGATTGAACGCGAGTTTGTTTGTTGTTTAAAGCTGCAGTCAAGAATATTTCCAGCTACATGATGGTGACCAGTAAAGAATTGAGTCTGGACCAGACAACCAGGCATTGACATCATGAGCAACGATGCATGCTGTCGAGGTACGATCACATGCAATGAATCTCACGCCATGCTTCATCCATTAAGTCGCCACTTACATCGCTATCGGTTGCTTGACCCTTTCTAACCCGGATTCAGTGGGTGTCTTTGACTTTCGTTTTGTTCAAGAACATGTTATGGGCTGTACAAACACGTTTGTGTGATGTAAGTGAAGTCATTGTTCATAAAGCACTGCGGAATTTAAGTACACAAAGTTTGACCAATTCTAAATCCCAAATTCCCAAGTGGGATCAGTTTAGTTACACCATGAGGTTGAAAAGCTGACATTAAAGGTGAGGTGAGGTGAAATGGGGTTTAACGTCGCGTCCAAGATTATTGCACTTATATAGCGACGTGCATGTACGTGTGTGTGTGTGTGTGGCTGCTTGAACTCGTCCGGACTGATGCCGATTTATAGTGCTAGCTCACTGAGATACCATGCCGCAGTGTAACATGAATACCCCACTCAGACACAGTATACTGACTCCGAGCCGACCAGTCCTTGTTTAAGCCCCTTAATGCCGAGCGCCAGACAGGGTAATCAAGAGTACCATCTTTTAACGTCTTTTGGTATGACGCGGTCGGGTGTCGAACCCCGGACCTTCCGCTCTCCGGGCGGACGCTCTACCACTAGACCACCGAGGCTGTCTGCTGACATTAAAGTAAAATATCTGTGTGAGTGAGTGAGTGAGTGAGTGAGTGAGTGCGTGCGTAAGTATGTGAGTGAGTGAGTGAGTGAGATAGATGGGTTTATTGCTGCTTGAACAGCATTCAAGTTACATCACGGCCTGTCAGCTTGATGTGGGAGAAAAGCCTGAAGAGATGCAGGTCTCAGACGTCCTTGAAACCCACAAGCACTGGTATGGTGCTGACAAACCTAGAAACATAATCAGGGCGAACTGGAATTCAAACAAACAATCATAAATTTCTAGAGTGCTCAAGGCAAGCAGCTCTGCACAGCAAACTGTCAGGAACTAAATGTGTCATGACCCAATAGACAATGCTAGGGCAAACTGCAGAACCAGCCAGGAACCCTGATGTTGCCTTTGGCTAATTTATGTTGCCTGTTTTTCCTTCACCATATGTTGATAAACAAAGAAACAAATGCACAACTGACACATGCTTTATTCAAAAACGACCCCAGACTGTCTACAATGCATGACAAGCACCTGTTTTATTCAACAAGAATGTAGAGTGACCACATTGCATGACATGACAACTTCTCACTAGATGCACTGACCTTCAGACTCAGTACAATTACAGGGCTCTTCCTTCCAAGAATAGCTGCCATCATATCATTTTTCTGCTGTCAGTTTTTTGAATAGCCACCATTGATTGTAAACACTTAGAAACACAAGCAGACCTATTTCTTGATATTTCCTCAACCATCTACTTGTGCATGAGGCACTAATGCGGCCGGCCATCATTCCACACATTCCTGGAACCTCTCCACTGGGCTGTGCTCCACGGAGTGATACAACTGTCATATATCTTGTTCTTTTCATTCACTTGCTTCAGTCTTTGTTATTGTTTTAACATCCAACAAACCACAGAAATATATCCTGTATTCCTTCACTTTTAGCTCCTAAATGAATCCGATGCAGGATTTAAAAAAGAATGGAACCTCTTGTAGCAGTCATTAACTTTTATACTTCTGGACAATGATGGTCACTAACTATTATAATCTCCACATCAACATACTATGGTTATGACCCCTCTTTGATGTAGCGGAGGGAGGATCTGTTTGAATGTGAAAATTTGGTGGTTCAATCCCGAGATGTGTCATACCTCAAGACATTAAAAGACGGTATTTGTTGTTAGCCTGGCACTCAAGGTTAAGGGGCTAAAACAAGGACGGTCAGCATACTGTGACTGAGTTGGGTATCCATGTTAAACTGTGGTTTGGTAGCTCAGTGTTCTAGCACTTCGCATTAGCAATAGTCCAGACCAGTACAAGAAGCCACACATACACACATACATACATACATGCACATCACATTTATCTTGAACGTGACATTAAACCCCATTTCTGCTCACATACTTTGGTCATGAACGCCAAAAACATCCTATAAACATATGATGGCCAACAACTCATGAGCTTTCATGTCAAAATATGACGACCATTACCTTTGTACTTTCATATCAACTTACAATGGTAATAAATCTGCTACTTTCACATACAATGGACAATTACCTCCCACACTTGAAATAAATTTTTGGAAGTTATTAAACCCTATATTTTAATCATATCAATTTCTGATGTTCATAACTATAATCGGGAGTTTAAAATGCATACCTTTTTCAAGAAAATACAATGTAATGAGTGTGACAACTCATACAATTCATATTTTTCAAAGTAAAACACATGGAAAATTCATTCAAAAGTTTTTTCATAAAATTCTATGAACAAAAACACATTAACAAATCTGTACATGTCATCTACACAATGGAATCAGCATTAATCAGTGGGGTAGCCGAGTGGTTTAAGTGTTTGCTCCTCATGATGAAGGCTCGGGTTTGATTCTCAACATGGTACAATGTGTGAAGCCCATTTTTGGTGTACCCTGCTGTGATAGTGCTGGATTATTGCTAAATGCAGCGTAAAACCACACTTACTTATTGTTTCTGTGTCTCCACCAGTGTCATTCATTAATCAGATTGACTGCCACAGCTTCATTAAGTGAGTGAGTGAGTATGCTTTTACGCCGCTTTAAGCAATATTCCAGCAATATCACGGCGGGGGACACCAGAAATGGGCTTCACACATTGTACCCATGTCGGGAATCGAACCCGGGTCTTCGGCGTGACGAGCGAACGCTTTACCACTAGGCTACCCGACCGCCCCAGCTTCATTAAGAGGTAGGAGTGTCATAGATTAGAAATTTTAGCATTGCTATATCGACTCATATGTATCAAAATTCATCAATTAATAATATTCTGTATGTGTATGGATAAAAATTACCTATGTAAACCTGTACATAAGGATAAATATGAACTAGGCAGAGTCATTAAATATTCAAAATTGAATTTTCTGCCCGCTCACTGTCCATCTTAACCATGGTAATCGTAACAAATAAACATTTCACTGGCAGTGAATTATTTACTTAATATAAATATTCATAAAGTTGTATGGGTACAGCATTGACGGAAAAATTACTGATACATCAATATTGCGATATACAATGACATCCTTTTGAAGAGGGTCAGCAGTGGTCAGATGAACCACTTCTGTGTCTCATATTGCCCGGGGGGCACGGGTGGCCAGGTCGTCTATGGCGCTGCGATTTGCTGTCCCTTGGGTAGGCCAGAAACCTATGACTGTGGGTTCAAATCCCGATTTGCGCCAATTATGTTTCTAGGTTTGTCAGCACCATACCCGTGCTCATGGGTTTCACCGAAGTGGTAAACGTCTGAGACCTTTATCACGTTGGGCTTTCCTCCCACATTAAGTTGACATGCCGTGATATAACTGGAATAATGTTAAAAGCGGCGTTAAACCCAACTCACTCACTCACTCATAATGTCCGCTGCTTAATGAAGAGGTCTCAAACTTTCCATGCTTCATGGAGAGATCTCACACTGTCCATGCTTCATGGAGAGATCTCACACTGTCCATGCTTCATGAAGAGATATCCACTGTCCATGCGTCAGGCAGAGGTCAGCCCTGGTCAGTTGAACCACTTCTGTCTCACACTGTCCCCTGCTGCAGTCATCTTATTCTTGTAGGACTGTACGAGCCGGTCAAAGTTGTCACTGCCGGGCCCTTTATTACCCTTCCTCGACTTCTTCTTCTTCTTCTTTGCTGGTTCCTGGGGAAATAATTGTAATGAGTCAAGGTAATAATATCTTATTTTGCTCTTAGGGTATGGAGGACCATTGTTTATTGTTTGAAAAGACCGCCTCCGTGGTCTTGTGGTAGGGCGTCCGCCCGGAGGGCGGAAGGTCCAGGGTTCGATCCCTGGCCGCGTCATACCAAAAGACGTTAAAAGATGGTACTTGTTGTAACCCTGTCTGGCGCTCGGCATTAAGGGGCTAAAACAAGGACTGGTCGGCTCGGAGTCAGTATACTGTGTCTGAGTGGGGTATTCATGTTACACTGCGGCATGGTATCTCAGTGAGCTAGCACTATAAATCGGCATCAGTCCGGACTAGTACAAGCAGCCACACAAACACACACACGTACATGCACGTCGCTATATAAGTGCAATAATCTTGGACGTGACGTTAAACCCCATTTCACCTCACCTCACCTTGTTTGAAAAATGTCAAGAAAAAAAATGACAACTTTTCCTACAACAAGCATTATTTCACAACATCACAACAAATGTAAGCTCATATGTAAAACATGAGCTAAGGATGAGGATGGATACACGCAGAATAAAATGTGACCTTTTTGGAAGTATGAAAAGAACGGTGCTGGGGTGTGAGTTGTGAGGACAGTGGTATTGCAAGAGTTAAAAACTAGATAGATTTGTTAGATAATGTTTATTGCAACCTGGGTTATAAAGTGGTGACTAACAAGATCGGTGGTCAGACTCAGTGGCTTGGTCGATGCATGTCACTGTATTGCAACTGTGTAGATCGATGCTCATGCTCAATCACTGGATTGTCTGGTCCAGGCTTGATCGTTTACAGAATGCCATCATACAGCGGAAATATTGCTGAGTGTGGCGTTAAACAACAAACAAACAAACAAAGCCCTTATGGGTATGCATTACCACCTATGGTATACTACTGCAATTGAGGAACAATTATTGCAATAGATCCTGGGATGCTGTGACAAATGTACTCCAATACCTCAAACATCCCATAGTGCCAGGCAGTATCTGACAGGACAGGTCAAACAGGTTGCTGGTGATGGGTCCCATCAGAGACCATCAAACAAAGGTCTCATATCAACAATTGCAACATTTTCAGATTGGACCATCATCAAGCTCTTCAAGCAGGGTATATTGTTTGGAAACAACTGATTCGCATAATGGGTCAGACAAACCAGTTGTGGACATCCTGAGCCATGCTCCCCCACCATCACGTCACACACAATCAGGTTTTCTCCGTGATCACCACATCCAGGGTGGTACTGGGACCGAGTCTGATGGTGAACACCCACATGTTGGAACCAGATGCCCTTACATCCATGTTTTTATCCCAGAGAAGACTGAACCATGAAGTCTATCAAAGCAGCCAATCCCCAGCAGTTCATGCTTGACTTCCACCCTCCATCTGCATGTGTTTTAATGTCAATACGAACACCTTGGAAACAAGGTCCAGGTGGGAAAATCTTCACACCTCCTGGAGGAGGAGGGAGCAGGGGCGAGAATGATGGAGAAGTAGTGGGGAGAGGGAGAAGGAGGGAAGAGGGGTGAGGAGGGAGAAGGAAGGAAGAAGAGAAAGGAGGGAGGAGAAGGAAGGATGAGGGAAAGAAGGAAGGATGAAGGAGGGAGAAGGAAGGAAAAGGGTAGAAGGAAGGGAAAGAAGGACGGAGAAGGAAGGATGAAGGGAAAGGAGGAGGGGAGAGGAGGTAATAGTAGGGAGAAGGAAGGATGAAGGAAGGATAAGGAAAGAGGGATGAGGAGGGAGAAGGAAGGATGAGGGGAAGAAGGAGAGAAGGAAGGATGAACAAGGAGTGATAAGGAAAGAGGAATGAGGGAGAAGGAAGGATGAGGGGAAAAAAGGAGGGATAAGGAAAGAGGGTTGAGGAGGGAGAAGGAAGGATAAGGGGAAAAAAGGAGGGATAAGGAAAGAGGGTTGAGGAGGGAGAAGGAAGGATGAGGGGAAAGAAGGAGAGAAGGAAAGATGAACAAGGAGGGATGAGGGGAGAGAAGGTGGGAGAAGGGAGGGGGAGAGGAGGCAGAAGGAAGGGAAGGGAGAGAAGGAGGCAGTAGGAGGGAGAAGGGAGGAGGGAAGAAGAGATGGAGGGAGAAGAAGGGAGGAGGGGGGGGGAGGAGGGAGAAGGGACAAGGGGAGAGAAGGAGGGAGGAGGTGAGAGGGGAGTGGTGGAGGGAGAGTAGGAGGGAGGAGACAGAAGGGAGGAGGGAAGAGAGAGAAGGGGAGAAAGAGAGAGAATGAAGGAAAAGGAGAGGGAGAAGGAGGAGGAAAGAGAAGAATGGAGGAAGGAAAAGAAGTATGGAGGATGGAGTAGGGGAGATAAGGATGGAGGAGGGAAAAGATGGATTGAGAAGGATGGAGGAGGGGAGAAAGATGGAGGAGGGAGGGGAGAAGGATGGAGAAGGGGGAGAAGGATGGAGGAGGAGGGAGGGGAGAAGGATGGAGGAGGGTGAGAAGGATGGAGGAGGGTGAGAAGGAGGAGGGGTGAGAAGGATTGAGAAGGATGGAGGGGAGAGAAGGATGGAGAAGGGAAGAAGGCTCGAGGAAGGGGAGAAGGATGGAGGGGAGAAGGAGGGAGGAGGGGAGAAGGATGGAGGAGGGGAGAAGGAGGGAGGAGGGGTGAAGGATTGAAATGATGGAGGGGAGAGAAGGATGGAGAAGGGGAAGAAGGCTCGGGGAAGGGGGAGAAGGATGGAGGAGGGGGAGAAGGATGGAGGAGAGAAGGATGGAGGAGGGGGAGAAGTATGGAGGATGGAGTAGGGGAGATAAGGATGGAGGAGGGATAAGATGGATTGAGAAGGATGGAGGAGGGGAGAAGGAAGGAGAAGGATGGAGGAGGGGAGAAGGATGGAGGAGGGAGGGAAGAAGGATGGAGAAGGAGGGAGGGGAGAAGGATGGAGGAGGGTGAGAAGGATGGAGGAGGGTGAGAAGGATGGAGGAGGATTGAGAAGGATGGAGGGGAGAGAAGGATGGAGAAGGGAAGAAGGCTCGAGGAAGGGGGAGAAGGATGGAGGAGGGGGAGAAGGATGGAGAAGGGGGAGAAGGATGGAGGAGGGAGGGGAGAAGGATGGAGGAGGGGAGAAGGATGGAGGAGGAGAAGGATGGAGGAGGGGAGAAGGATGGAGGAGGGGGAGAAGGAGGGAGGAGGGGTGAAGGATTGAGAAGGAAGGAGAAGGATGGAGGGGAGAGAAGGATGGAGAAGGGGAAGAAGGCTCGGGGAAGGGGGAGAAGGATGGAGGAGGGGAGAAGGATGGAGGAGGGGGAGAAGGATGGAGGAGGGGGAGAAGGATGGAGGAGGATGGAGGAGGGGAGAAGGATGGAAGAGGGAGGGGAGAAGGATGGAGGAGGGAGGAGAAGGATGGAGGAGGGGAGAGAAGGATGGAGGAGGGGAGAAGGATGGAGGAGGGGAGAAGGATGGAGGAGGGGGAGAAGGATGGAGCAGGGAGGAGAAGGATTGAGAAGGATGGAGGAGGGGAGAGAAGGATGGAGGAGGGAGGATGGGAGAGTAGGAGGGAGAAGGAGGGAGTATGGAGTGTGTTCCAGCAAGTCCGGGGGCTGCTGCTACTTGCCATCTTATCAAGCTGACACTGGAAGGATGAGGGGAAAGAAGGAGAGAAGGAAAGATGAACAAGGAGGGATGAGGGGAGAGAAGGTGGGAGAAGGGAGGGGGAGAGGAGGCAGAAGGAAGGGAAGGGAGAGAAGGAGGCAGTAGGAGGGAGAAGGGAGGAGGGAAGAAGAGATGGAGGGAGAAGAAGGGAGGAGGGGGGGGGAGGAGGGAGAAGGGACAAGGGGAGAGAAGGAGGGAGGAGGTGAGAGGGGAGTGGTGGAGGGAGAGTAGGAGGGAGGAGACAGAAGGGAGGAGGGAAGAGAGAGAAGGGGAGAAAGAGAGAGAATGAAGGAAAAGGAGAGGGAGAAGGAGGAGGAAAGAGAAGAATGGAGGAAGGAAAAGAAGTATGGAGGATGGAGTAGGGGAGATAAGGATGGAGGAGGGAAAAGATGGATTGAGAAGGATGGAGGAGGGGAGAAAGATGGAGGAGGGAGGGGAGAAGGATGGAGAAGGGGGAGAAGGATGGAGGAGGAGGGAGGGGAGAAGGATGGAGGAGGGTGAGAAGGATGGAGGAGGGTGAGAAGGAGGAGGGGTGAGAAGGATTGAGAAGGATGGAGGGGAGAGAAGGATGGAGAAGGGAAGAAGGCTCGAGGAAGGGGAGAAGGATGGAGGGGAGAAGGAGGGAGGAGGGGAGAAGGATGGAGGAGGGGAGAAGGAGGGAGGAGGGGTGAAGGATTGAAATGATGGAGGGGAGAGAAGGATGGAGAAGGGGAAGAAGGCTCGGGGAAGGGGGAGAAGGATGGAGGAGGGGGAGAAGGATGGAGGAGAGAAGGATGGAGGAGGGGGAGAAGTATGGAGGATGGAGTAGGGGAGATAAGGATGGAGGAGGGATAAGATGGATTGAGAAGGATGGAGGAGGGGAGAAGGAAGGAGAAGGATGGAGGAGGGGAGAAGGATGGAGGAGGGAGGGAAGAAGGATGGAGAAGGAGGGAGGGGAGAAGGATGGAGGAGGGTGAGAAGGATGGAGGAGGGTGAGAAGGATGGAGGAGGATTGAGAAGGATGGAGGGGAGAGAAGGATGGAGAAGGGAAGAAGGCTCGAGGAAGGGGGAGAAGGATGGAGGAGGGGGAGAAGGATGGAGAAGGGGGAGAAGGATGGAGGAGGGAGGGGAGAAGGATGGAGGAGGGGAGAAGGATGGAGGAGGAGAAGGATGGAGGAGGGGAGAAGGATGGAGGAGGGGGAGAAGGAGGGAGGAGGGGTGAAGGATTGAGAAGGAAGGAGAAGGATGGAGGGGAGAGAAGGATGGAGAAGGGGAAGAAGGCTCGGGGAAGGGGGAGAAGGATGGAGGAGGGGAGAAGGATGGAGGAGGGGGAGAAGGATGGAGGAGGGGGAGAAGGATGGAGGAGGATGGAGGAGGGGAGAAGGATGGAAGAGG